GATAGGCCCTCTTGAGGAAGAGTTAGGGTGTTAAATACCCTAAGAGTCCTAGGCGGTTACTCAGTACTTGATTAGACCGTTCAGGATTAAAGCAGCTAAAGAGCAAGACCGAACGGATCGGATCTGGACGGACAAGATCTGGCAGTTCCTTGAGCACGATCTTCAACAAACGGCTCAAATCGGACGTGGGGAACGAAGAGGCCCACTACCTCGCATTTAATGCGAGGCGGCTATCCCACGTCTCCTTAACCGGCGTACACGTGGATTAACACGTGGCCCGCTAAAAGCGTAACCCGATCAGAGTCAGGATCGCCATTAGCATTTGCAAATCCGCCTGCGGGCCGAATTCGCCTGCAGTCGAAATAAACCTACAGCGCAAACCAATCGATGATAATCCCGCTGCAGTTGAGGTCCTCTTGCGGCCAGATTCCGACCAATGCATGGTTACGAAAATGGCACACGCACACAAGTGACAATAGGCCAAAAACAAAAGGGATAATTTCATTCGTGAAAGGGAAGTCCTATTACAAACGGAAAATTGAAAACGAATTACAGAGATTTTAACCGCAGCTCCGCCTCACGAAGTTCTTCGGCATGGCGAAGTTCAAGCCTCCTTAGAATCTCTCGGCGAAGATCTTCATCCGTACGCGAGGCCAAGTCTTGAACGGTCTCTTTGGCTTCCTTATGGGCTCGCTCCTTTTCCTCCACTGAATTGGCAGTCAGCTGCTGGCGAGATTCAATGTTCTCCAACTCTTTGACCGCCTGCTCACGAGCCTTCTCTTGAATAGCCAATGAGGCCCGCGCCTTGGCTATGACCTGCTTCAGAGTCTCTACCTCCGAAGACAGGCGAGAAACGCGGTTGTCAGCCTTCTGTCGCTCGAAGACCATCCGTTCATTCTCAGCTCTGGCCTGCTCCAGCTCCTCCGACAATCTCGCCTCTAGTGACATAGTTTCATTCAGACGGCGATCCCGCTCTTGCACCACCGCTCGGACTTCGCCGGATGCAAGATCCACAAGAGTGGAACTCTTCGCGCGAAGAGCAAGCAACTGCTGGATGGCTTCTTTCACCGCCTCCTTACGCTGGAAATAAGGTTGCGCCCCAGAATGCTTTAGCCTCTTGATTAAGAAGCCTATGATGTAGTCGATATCCTCTTCGAAGCTCTCGAAAGGACAACTCTCTTCCAGCGCGAGCCTGATGCAGGCAGCCATAGTGTCATGGAATTCAGCCACGGATCGTGCCGCACTCTTTCTTCGCTCACGCTCCAAGGGAGAGAGGGCAGCCTCTTCCATCATAGATGGAACCGCGGTTGAAGCACTGGTGGCCGTAACTGTGGAAGTAGTAATTGGCGTCGCCAGGGCCGGTGTGACCAATGATGACCTCGGAACAGCAATCACGGCATCAACGGCGACCCCCGACAGGGAGGTGATCACTTGCTGAGCAGAAACCTCTCTTTGAAGCGGTGACTCTCGCACTGAGGAACGATCCTCAGCAGACACCGCCGCAGGAGCAGGGGATCCCCCTATTTGACCAGTCGCATCTTCATGAGCCAAATCCTCTTCCTCACTCGACAGGGCCTCGTGTATTGAGGCGTCGTCGTCATCCTCCTCAGATTCGCCCGTCTCCCTAGACGAGCGATTCGCCCAAGAGGAAGGACCCTCTTTGCCGGCGATTTCGCGGGCAGGATCGGCTACAAATGCACCAAGAGAATTAACGGAGACCCCTCGTAAGGGACCCTATTTACGGTGAAGCATGAAAGAACGAGTAATGCTAAAGTCTATACTTACCTAAGCCCGTAAGCCCCTCATCATCTCCAGCTTCTTCCTCTTCGTCGGAAGGAATGGAGATCACTTTCTCAACCGCACCTGCATAGATCCATTACCGATATCAAAAGGTGCAAGAGCAACATTGCAATCAAGGGTACTGTTGCAAAGACTACCTCGTGATGCGGGCAAAGAAGCCGTTGGAACTCCCGACGGTAACCTCACGTCGGACGGCAGAGGAGCGTCCTTCGGAGTCTCTTGAACTGCCCCCGATGCGGCAGGTGAGGCAGGCGACACGGCTCCAGACCCAGACGGAGCCACTCCAGACCCGGACAGAGCCACTCCAGGAATCCTTATCGGAGAAACGTCATCCCGACCCCCTGCCGCTTGGATGGTCCCGACTGTCCCATCACAGCGAGCCTTCTTGGCCGCCTCCGCTCTGGAACTCTCGGCCACCGCCTCCCGCTGACGCTTCGAGAGAAGCGAGCTACTCGGGGATAGCAAAGGTGCCCCCATTTGTCCGATTGTCGGACTCTGAACCGGAGCTTGAACATCGGGAACCTCAGATTCGCCACCAGCATCGAAGCTCTCACAGTCCTCCACTGGATCCTCCGAGAACAACTCCCTAGCGGTTTGGTGGCCCCTTCTCTTTGAAGAACGGAGAGAGCCCCTGATGGGACGATCGCGTTCCGCCAGACATGAGCTTTGGAACCAGAAGTTGGCGGGGTCAGCACTAGCACCCCGATACCACCGACAGTACAAGAGCGTGTGGTGTAAATCGCGGTCCTTCGCAGGCAACTCAAAACGAGCTTGAGTACCTCCAGCATGGGTCCAGAACCACCCCCGAGCGCCGTCAACCAGTCCTCCTTCGAAGTGTAGGCGAGGGTTGGCGTTGCCCACATACAATTGATCATACCCAAACTGGCGGGCAAACCTGCAAGGGATGTATGGCTCGAGATAGCATGTGGAGCCTGTTCTCAGAACGTGATACCCCGGTCGAATGTCCACCAACCAGCGAAAGGCACCACGGGAAAGGATTGTGTGGTGATCCGCCGTCGGCGCATCCCTGAGAGATTCTCCATATCCACCCCCGCTAAAGTAAGGAAAAGATCGACGAAAATTATAGTGCCCGAAGTGGGAGAGCGTCTTCCTCGTATCGGGGATGTCCTTGCACTTCCAGGAGCACCTCTCCAAACGCTGGACAAAGGGGACAAACCTGTCTCCCTGAAGCGCTGCCGGGGCACTCATCAAGCATTCGCAGTGATAGACGAACCATGCCACCAAGTAGGTATACGGTAGCCCCACCCTAGGATTGGGGGTTCTGATAACTTCTCCTTCCCCCTCGTCGAGGACCGACACACGGCAGAATTGGCTCGTCAGAGTACGGAGCCCCCGATGGATGCACGCTATCGTCGCCGATACCAGGGAATAAGACTTCCCGTGAGCCAGGCAAACCGCCGGATACACGACCTCTATAGGAAGAGCCTCGAAGGAGTGAGTGGGGATTACGCACCTCTTCAGCCATAACATGAGGTACCCCGCGAGCAGCGCCTTCCCCGAGATGAGAAACTTCTCCTGATGATGGAATGA